GACCTCCCAAAATGCTGGGATTACAGGTGTACGCCACTGCGCGCGGCCAAGTTCAGATATTTGTAAGTACAGGGAAAAAGATATGCGTGAGGATTATCTTCTTATCGAACAATACTTTTTTGTGGACTATAACTTCACTCCAGTGGGAGACTCCTCAAAAACAGGAGCTGAATCGTTCCAGTTCAGAAAGACACTAAGGCCTAAAGAAGAGGTGAGCTGCTCATCCACCGTCACAAAACGACTTAGTGGCAAAGCTAGGACTAGAACCTGACACTGTGACTACAAACTCTTCTCCCCACCTCCCATTTAACTTACCAGCATTAAGCTACTCTGAGATAAAAACGCAGTATAAGCGGGGGAAAGAAAAGGTTGCCATCAAGACAAAAGCTTTTCGGTGGGGGAAACGTTTTAAGAAGCTTAGCACAGGGATGAGGGGTGACAACCGGAGTTTCTCTAAGATAAGGAAGAAGCTGCTGAAAGTTCCCAGCCCGCCCCATCACAGCGAAAGCGGTCGTCTGGGTCCCCTACACCTAAGTGAAGTAGGGCTACGAGAGTGAAGGGCACCGTGGCCTAGCATCGCCTCACTTTCTTCTCGCGTGTTTTTCTCTCTTCTCTCCGCCGTTCGAACTCCTCGAAGGAGATTTTCCCCTCCAGGTAATCGATGAGTTCCGGACTGAACCCCGACATGTTTGTAGGCTCTGTCAGTGCAGCCCGAAGAACCCTGACAGAGAACCGGAAGAGCAGTGCCTTCCAGACGCTACCTCGCGCCGGGGTAAGCAAGAGCAGGAAACCGGCGTCCTTTCGTGAAACCCTCCGGGTCTCCGCGGTAGCCGCAGCACTCGGGTTCCGCCTGCGCGCCAGGCCGGGATCTACTCAGGGGAGGCGCGACCCAAGCTGCAGTGCTTTAGCACAGCAGACTCGTTCGGCCGTCTCTCTCAGCTCTCGTTCCAGATTATTAGATAGCTATTTTAAAAAGTGCTTGGAATATATTTTCTTTAATCTAGTTAATTTCCCTCAATTCTTCACTAAGATGTTGGTTTCATTCTCCTGTTTTCTTTTCTGAATGTTCTTTAATTTGGTCGCTGCTGCGTGATGTTTTTCTTAATTTAACCATTTTCTCTGCCACGTGCATGTTTCACTTTCCAGTTCTCCCCTGCCACAGAAAGCTAAAATTCTCCCGCAATATATACTTTAAATCCCACTCCCGAAGGACCGGCGCGGTGGCTCACGTCTGTAATCCCAGTACTTTGGGAGGCCGACGTGGGCAGATCTCTAGGTTAGGAGTTGGAGACCAGCCTGACCAACATGGATAAACCCTGTCTCTACTTAAAAAAATAAAATAAAAATTAGCCGGGAATGGCGGCAGGCATGCCTGTAATCCCAGCTAGTCAGGAGGCTGAAGCAGGAGAATTACTTAAACCCAGGACACTGAAGGTTGCAGTGAGCCGAGATTGTGCCACTGCACTCCAGCCTGGGCGACAGAGAGACTCTGTCTCAAAAAACAAACAAAAACCACTCCCATCGGTCCCCCCTTCCTCCCCACGCCAGAATCCTCAAAGTCTCCCTTTCCTCAAACTCCTTCTCAGTCTGTAAATACGTTCACCTGGGCTTCCTGTTCCACCTCTCCCAAGTTTTCTTCCTTTCCTAACAGCATACTTCCGGAAAGAAGCAAATACTTGACATGGTTACTATGCATTATTGCCCATTTGCTATATAACAAATACATCAGCAATCTACTGTTTTATACATATTACATACATATCTCAAAATAATCCTTCTTTCAAAGTGGATGTTATTCCTAATGCTACGATCTCTAATAAGTAGTAGAGCCAGGATTTGAACCCTGGTCTCTGATTCCAAGTCCCATGCTTGGAATTATAATATACTGCCTCCTCTGAATGGCACAGTCTTTCAACTTCTACACACTCCTGTGATTTATATTTTCCCTTGTATTATTATCATCTCTCTATTTGTCCAATTCTAGAGACACTAGCTGTAAACATCTTGAGAACAGCACTAGTTGCTGCATCATTATAAACTTTACTGTATGGCCTAATAATTAGTGCTGAAAACACATTTGTGAATTAAATAGGATAGAATTGAAAGTGCCTTTGGAACTGTGGGCAAGGGAGCTGAAGTAGGGGAATATAGCTCAATATGAAGCTAAGGTTAATGACAAGTTACAAGGCGAGTATCACCTAGCCATCTTTATGACAATCTAGGTGATGATAAACAGCAGAAGGATGGGAGAATGAGGGGCCAGGACCTGCAAGAGTGGGACTGCCAAATGAGAAAAAAATATCTCACAGCTAGAAGTCATCCCCTTTCTCATGAGGAAGGATCTTTAGAGTCCTACCTGGGTATAAAACATGGAAGGTGAGCAGGATGGAGTGTGTTAAGGTAATCTACTTAAACCACTTAGAGGAAAATTCTCCCCTAAGTTTTCCCAGACAGTTGAGGAACTGCGTCTAAGAGGAATTTAGGAATCTCCAGTTCTAATTCTCCTAGAGGAAAATAAGATAAATCAAGTGAGGAGGGATGGTTACTCTAAGGAGAATACTCTCCTAAGACCCAAATGGCTTAGACTATGTTGTCTTATTGTTGGCTATCTGGAATATGGAAATAACAATTCTGGAGATATAGATTCATGTTATGAAGAACAGGAAGCAGAGAACGAGGGGTAGGAGGGTTTGTTTTTTGGTTTGTTTTTTGTGGGGTTTTTTTTTTTTGGCTATGAAACACTTTAAGGATATGAAAGTTATTTTAGAGGTCAGACTGTTGCAAAATATCTTGAAATTTCAATCTTTCTGTTTTTTTTTTCCCTCACTTACTTGGAAGAGATTTGTCCCCAACGAGTCAGAGGTATTCACATTACCTTGAGGTGAAGTGGAATGGTAATGGCAATAATAAAAATACATTCAGCCTTCTTTTGAGAATCAAAATGGAAAGTCTGAAGGAAGCAGAACACTGAATTTTTACCATGACCATATAATTATAATCATACATTCTTTCTCCTTGCCAGGGAAAAGAGCCATGTGGGATGGGGTGTGATCCTATGTGTGAGACTATTTTTCCATGGCTCTTTCATTGTTCTCCAAAAGCTTGTGATAGCTTTATTCTAGGCTAGCTTTTCAAGGCTGTTTTCAAATCAAACAGACTTAAAAGGTAGAGCTCTTGTCTCCTTCTGGGGCAGGGAGCAAATCTGTTTAAGAAATGTTTCCTTCTGGGCAAAGTTTGGGCATGTTTGATAGCAGTCCCATTAGAAGAGTGGTGATTTCCTAAGTTTTGAGTTCCTCAGCTTTGGCACAAACCTACTTGTGCCCAGCATACCCCTGGACCCACATTCACATGGCTCCCTTGATACTTGGAGGAGTAAGGAGAACTGATGTGAGTGTAAAACTCATGTCGCTACCTGCCATGCTATCAGTAACAAACTCAGTTGTCTCAGACATCGGTGTCTCATGTATCTGCCAAGTTTGATAAAAATGTAGAAGGCTAGTGCATAGCTTGCAAGTACTCTTAGCAGTTCTTGGCCACCCTAGATCTGGGACAGGGGACAATCGGCCAAGTACTGGGGAATGGGGTACTCATTGAAGAAGAGCAGAGGCTCCTCTCAGTGTTGAGTGATTGCCAAGGACCTACATAGAGAAGTACCAGAGACTCCTCCAGAGTCTAAAACACCTGCAGAACATTTATTTGCATTGGAGCAAACACTAAATTTCATCTGTGTTCTAGCAGTAGTTCTCAGCCAAGAGCAAAAGCAATTTTAGAAATGTGTGTAGGGAGGGTATTGTTTGTTTGTTTGAGACAGAGTCTTTTTTTTTTTTTTTTTTTTTTGAGATGGAGTTTCACTCTTGTTACCCAGGCTGGAGTACAATGGCGCAACCTCAGCTCGGCGCAACCTTGGCTCACCGCAACCTCGGCTCTCCGCAACCTCCGCCTCCTGGATTCAGGCAATTCTCCTGCCTCAGCCTCCTGAGTAGCTGGGATTACAGGCACGTGCCACCATGCCCAGCTAACTTTTTGCATTTTTAGTAGAGACGGGGTTTCACCATGTTGACCAGGATGGTCTTGATCTCTTGACCTCATGATATACCCGCCTCAGCCTCCCAAAGTGCTGGGATTACAGGCTTGAGTCACCGCGCCTGGCCCCAAGACAGAGTCTTACTGTGCAGTGACATCATGATCTCGGCTCACCACAACCTCCACATTCCAGGTTCAAGTGATTCTCCTGCTTCAGCCTCCTGAGTAGCTGGGACTACAGGCGTGAGCCACCATGCCAGACTAATTTTTGTATTTTTAGTAGAGACAGGGTTTCACCATACTGGCCAGGCTAGTCTCTAAATCCTGACCTTGGGTGATCTGCCCACCTCTCCCTCCCAAAGTACTGGGATTACAGGGGTGAGCCACCACACCCAGCCCCCAGGAGGTTTTGATTGTCAAAATGATAGGCAGATCTGAGGGAACTACTAACATAGAGTATCTGGGGACCAGGTGTGCTAATTTATCACGCACAGCGATAATTTGGCTTCCCCCTACTGCCAATAGCATTACCATTAAGAAACTCTAGTCAGTGTGAGGTATGGGCTTCCATCCATAAAAATTTTCCAGCTGAAGGATGAATGTCGCTGCCCCAAAACTTTGCAAGCTCATAGCTAAATGTCCCATATGAATGCCCTTCCTTTACAAAGCCCTGAAACTGATAATCATTCCCTTTGTGGAGGTCTTAACACCCAGAGCAGGGATAGTAGTGAGAAAGGGAAAACCAGCCACTAGTACTTGGAATTTGACAGTGATGAGAAACTCCCTACCACTCTACCATTTATATGAATAAACTATACTGTTATGAGGAATAGCTCATCAAGAATTACTTACATTTTTTAAATGACAAGAAAAAAGTTTTGACATTAACTAAAAGCAGCTTCCATTACTGTGTGAAGACTGGCTGAATAGCACATGTTTATTTCAATTCAACAAGTATCTATTAAACATTTGCTCCATGCTAGGCATTGTAGTAGGTGCTGGGGAAATAAAGGTAAATTATACATGGTCTCTGCTCACAAAGACCTCACCACTCTTCAGGAGAAACAGACACGTATACAACTAATTACAGTAGAACATCTTAAACCAGACACAAAATCTGCTCTTGTGCAAATATTTTTTCATATACAGTAGCAATAATTTACCAAAAAAAGTCACAATAAACCATTTTAAAATGCACAGACTAATATCAGGACAATGTTGCATTTTTAGCACAACATTATAGATGCGGCTATCCATAAAGATACAGGAAAAGTAGCTGTTCCAAATGAGAATATGGGAATCAGAATAAGTCAGCATGAGCTAGAGTAAGGAGGGCAGGGGCTAGTTGGAAAGAGAGGAAATCACCTGTTTCTACTTTTCCTTACTGAGGAGGTTGTGTATGGGAGCAAGGGCTGGGACATTGCTAGAATATTTGATGTGGCACAGTGTCCACCTCTGAATATTTTGGCAAAAGCATCTTTGGAGGCGTTGACAACTTCCAGAATCCCATGTTTGTTGTGTGCTTGCATTTTAACTTAATTGTGGCTGTTTATCACTTGCCCTCATTTCTTATGAAACTAAAACTGTGAGGTCTTTTTGTAGCATGTGCTGATTGTGGGGATGCATCTTCTTTTTGGGGAAGGAAGACAAATTTTAAAACAAACCCCCATCACATATAATGAATTTTACTATAGAAAAAGTGAATGTGTCACTATCAAAAAATATATTGGTTGATAAAATATAATAAATGTAAAAGATAAGTTTTAAAAACAAGCTTAAAGAAACATCTAATTTAGAAGATTATAATCTCTTTTCAGTTTGTGATGTTTTTGTAACTCCTACAAATACATGCAGTGTTCTACATCAATATTTATGGTTATACGGGAAAAACACTCCATAAATATGCATAGAAATCATAGTTCCAGCTATTTATATGTAAATCTGGAAATGTGGAATAAAATCATTACAAACTGAAATATAAAAATGAAAGGAAAAAAAACTCCACAAAAGTTTAGCTATGATAGTGGTTGGATTTTTCTAATGAGAAGCTTCATCTGTAGTTTTAAAATAGCCAGACACCTGAAAGAACAAGACAATGTTATAATTAAATAGAAAATAAAGACTACACAATCAACCCAAAGACCCCAAAATCAACATGTTTTAATGAAAGCTCTTTTTGTCTTCATTTTCTCACCAGAGATAAAAGGAACATAGAGTTCGTAATTATGAAATATACTCCAAATCAGAAGCTTTCTTTTCATAAAGTTAAATAATTCCTGTTCTTTTATGATACCACCAATTGGGTGCTTTATCAGTTTCCTGCCCTTAAATATTACCTCATTCCATGCTCACATGAAAGTATTTCTTTAATATTTTCTATGATACTTTCTGTAAGGTAGAAACTAGTATCTGTAATTTACAGATGAAGAAACTGAGACTTACAAGCAATTTATCTGCCTTTTACTAAAGGAGGTAGCATGGTATTAATAACTATTCTCTGATACCCTAAGGCCAAAGTGTAAAAAATAGTCAAGAGAAAACTTCATTAACATTTTACTGTTTCTTCTATTTTATTTTCTCAGTTTAGAACACTATCTAAGGGCATATTCCACATGGTAAGTTAAATATTCTTTTTAGAATAGCAATAATTATTTTTTAATCATCACATTTGAAAGAACTAATAATGCAAACCCTTTCACAAACAAAATAAAGCACAAGAAAGGTATGCTTCCTCAGAATTTCAAAATTATACTTGAGGGAGAATGGGAAAAGATTTTAATTATGATTCCATTCCCTTTATTATTCAGCTAAACAAAAAGCTAACGGATTGAAATCATAAAATATTTGCTTGGAATGCACCATACTTGTTCTTTGTAAACGGTAGGTATTGGTTTGATAGGAATACTAAAATAATAAGAGCAATGAAATTCAAATCCCTTTTCTATGAGAAAAATGCCATCCTTACTGCTAGCCAACTTTTCTTCCTATAGGTGAGGAGTTCAAGCTCAAATATATGCATACTACTTTATCCCCCAAAGAACCATTCTTTTAACTTTTAATTCCCATTTAATCCAACAACTCAATTTGACATATTTCTTTATGTAGATTTTCCACACAGCTATATCACCTTGTCTGGAAAAAGATAGAGGCAAGAATGTGGCCATGTTACTAATTTGATAATCCTATTTACAGGGATCATTCTATCATTTTAATATGTCTCTCCCTGGATAACTACGCTTAAAAAATCAAAACTTTCATTTCTTTTTAAAACAGGATTATGAAATACCTGCCTGAACCAAATCGAAATACTTAACAGTGATGAGTATAAGCAGAACTGAGCACTTATTTCTATGAAGAAATAAAATCATTTTTCAAATAAGTACTTTCAAAATACCTACTTTATGGCTGAATTGTATGTTTGGACAGATCCTGTGAATAAAGGGCCAACTTTTACCTGGGCTCAGAAAACTTTCAGTCTTTGAGAAAACTGTGAAAGGAGTTTTCCTGCTCTTCATAATCTGCAAATGCAGAAGCAAGAAGTTCTGATCAGAAAGAGAGAGGTCTAGGGTTCTCATTCATGGGGAAAGGATTTGGAAACATTCCAAGATCAAGACCTCTGCCCTTAAAATATGCCTGAAGGCTTCTGAAAAACTAAAGAGAGAAAGAAAATGTTCATTGGCAGATATAAATGAAACACCTAAAATAAAAGTGAATTTTTTTCCTCTATTTTTCTCCTGAATTGACTTTAAGGCTAATCTAGGAGGCAAGAGGTTGGAAATCAAAATCTAGAAATACAAGTGCAAGTTTCAGCTACTTCTCCTCCCCTCCTCTGTGCCTTCTGACATTTCAACCTTAACCAAGATAATTTACCATTCTTAGTGAAAAATGAAGGAAGAATATGGAACAGCACCACAATTCAAAGATTCATTGTGAACTATCTCTGAATACTAAGGTCAGAGATGAAACTGAACTCCATAATGAGCAACTCAGTATCTCCTCTTCCTTAAGATGAGATCTCTGTTGCTACTTTCTGCAAGTTTCTTTTCAAAGTTTTTCAGATTTCCATTAGGAAATGAACACAGAAGATGTGCAAAGTGCTACTTGCTTTGATGCAGGACAGGCAAAGCCCAAAACTGGGGCTTAGCCCAGGAGGGTTCTTGGCTTTGCCCAGAAAAGAATTTAAGGGCAGGCTGGCTGTGGTAACAATCTTTTATTGAAACATACTGTTCCTGCCCGAACAAGGCTAACTCATAAGTAGTGCACACAGAGTTGACAACATACGGGCTCTTAGCAACTGTGTTTATATACACTTTCAAATATATGCAAATTAAGGGATGGTTAATACAAATAGAAGGGGGTTTAGAACTTTCTAGGAAAGAGGTGGTAACTTCTGGATCATTGCCACAGAAAGGAGTGGTAAATTCCAGGTCGTTGCCATGACATTTGTAAACTGTCATGGCACTGGTGGGCGAATCATATCCAGAGCAATGAGAGCAAATAGGGATCACTTTTGTTGCTATCTGCTGGTTTCATCCAGTTTTTTCACTTTATCCTCTCTGGACCAGATCCTCTTTTGGTCAGCAGTTGTGACCAGAAAACAAATCCTGCTGGTCTCTTATCTCAGTTTATTTTAATCCTATGTTGTTATATTTCACATCATTCACTTTAGAAAAAAAAAATTGAAATAGTCATGTCAACATGTTTATTGTATTTGGCATATTGTTTTCAAGAGAATGTTTAGTGATCTTTTGAATTCTATTTTCTAGATAACTGTATGTTAAAAATATGCCTAATAAATTGATACCCATGCAGGGTCAACTTTCAGTTTTTGCAATTGAGCTTGGCAATTACTATTTATATGGTAATTTGTTTTATCATTGGTTCAATCTAAGCTGTACAAAAGCAATTCCCTGTTACACTCTTGATTTTGTATATTTATTAGAAGTCAAGGCTACAAAGTCAATGTGTATATAAGATCAGTCACAAATGAAATGCACTCTGTGTGTATAAGATTGTTTCCAAATATAAATGTTTCTCTTTACAGAAACAAATGTAAATTGGCCAGAGAAATAATAGGTTGCCAACCACTAAGGTAGTAAAATTCTGGTCCAGTCCTGTTGGAGAATCTTCTCAACACTTGGTAGCCCACTTTCCACTATGCTCTGGAAAACACAACAAGAATGTTGTGTGCATAAATCCAAAGAGGCATTAGTTCTATCCTGAAACCCAGGCCCCAGGTGTGTTCTTACCAAATCTCTGTTTCTGGTATTATTGAGTGGCTTCTATTTGTCTTCATTTCTTAGTGTGGCTCCATGCACATGTCCAAGTAGCACCAGGGCAACACATAGTAGCAGGAGAGGTGCTGTGGTCATAGTGGAGTGAAACTGAGTGAAAGAGAGGACCAGAGAGCTGTCCATGGTCACTGAGATAGTCAGGGAAAAGAGAAGGAAAGCAGAAACATCTATAAAGGCAGACAAGGACAGAGAAATAGCATACTGGTTTATCTAAGTTTTACAGCCATCTTTTTCCATATTGACTTCTAAATGAGGATCCCCAAATCCAACTGATTAGCTTAAAGCAGCCCACGATGATGAGACTGTTGTACAGTGATACGCAAAACAATTATGAACATAACATAGAAAGTCTGAGTATGCCTTTTTCATCTTTGAAAAAAAGTACTTTTTTTCTCCAAAGAAAGCGCAATTCTTAAAATAACAAAAACCAAAACCTTAATTACTTTTAAGCCTTAAGATAGCAGTCTTAAAAAAAGAAAATACAAAATTACTTCACATACTGTGAGCTGAGAAACACACCTTACACACACATCTGAGACAGACAGACACATACCGCACCAGTGTGAGTAGATATTGTCTTCCACTCCAATGTGTGAAATGGAAACCGAGACACATCATAGAAAAGGCTAATAAAGCTTATCAGGAGTTTGGTTTTGGCTGGCCCTCCTAGGTTATCCTGCCTATAATCAGCAAGGCAATTAATGGGTGCTTATAACCAACGGATTGGCTGCAGGTGGAATTCACTGATGCAAGCAGGGGGAGTTCAAAAATAATGATTCCTTTTTCATCCAAAGCACAAAGACCCTTGAGAGTCAGATCTTCAAGCTCCTTCAGGAACAAGCCTATTTGCCTTAGAAATGTGGCAGCCACTCCTTGAACCACTGAACATTTTATGTGGATTTTTATAAAACATGCAATGCACTTACGCATAGCAAAGTGATTTTCTCCTTTTTTCCTTTTAAGGGAAGGAATATACATAGTAGCTGGAAATATTATGATGACTATCCCACCTGTTAGAATGTTCTTTTGGAGATATCATTTTTTTTTAGTTAACAGCATTTTTTGAACAGAAAATTCTATTGTGAGAGACAAAATTACTCTTTTTGACCTATACCTTGTACTTTTCCTGAGAATCTCAAGAAGCTTTAGAATTTTTAAGTAGTGGCATTATCATAATATCCCTTAAAATAGAGCAAGAAGATAGCACATGTTTCATGGAAAAAAAGAAAAATTACTATACCTACAACATTCTCTTGCTGAATAAATTCCATCTGTAGAAAATGGTAGGCTGAGAAATTGGACTTGAGTTGTGACATTGCTTTGGTTCCAATTATTTAGAACAAAATTTAGAACAAGATATTTGTTGAGAAGCCTGGTGATCTGGACTGGAAATTAGCAAACCTGGCTACAGTCTCAGCCTTGCCATCTTCACCCTTGGCAAGTTACTATGACCTGTGACCTTCATTCATTCATTTCCTCTGTTTATTCAGTTAGCAGACTTTTAGGAAGTGCCTACTATGTGCCAGGCACTGCATTCGGCTTTGAGGATTAAATGGTAAGAATAACAAATACAGTCCTTGCCCTCATTAAATAGAGTAGTGGGCAAAAGAAACATTTTATACAACCAAATGTGTACGTATAAGCGAACAATCATTTCTATGAAATAGTGAGTGCTATGAAAGTACAGAAAAGGAGAATTTGGCCCAGCTGTGGTGGCTCATGCCCATAATCCCAGCACTTTGGGAGGCCGAGGCGGGTGGATCGCCCGAGATCAGGAGTTTGAGACCAGCCTGGCCAACATGGTGAAACCCCATCTCTACTAAAAACACAAAAATTAGCCAGGTGTGGTAGCAAGTGCCTATAATCCCAGCTACTTGGGAGGCTGAGCCAGGCGAATTGCTTGAACCCAGGAGGCAGAGGTTGAAGTGAGCCGAGATCACGTCACTGCACTCCAGCTTGGGGGACAAGAGCAGATTTCATCTCAAAGAAAAAAGGGGAATTTGATTCAGTCGGAGGGGACAGGGAAGGCTTCTGTGGGGAAATGACCTTACATCTGGTCAGTTGAATAGGAGTTACTTAGGCAACCTGAGGAGGACAGAGGGAGAAGTGTGTCAAACAAGGTGAACAGCTGTGCTAGGAATGGGGCACATTAAAGGAACTGAAATTATGCCAGGTGTGGAGGGAGCAAGTGGGGAGCCTGATGCAAGATGGTGCCAGAGTGGTAGTCAGATTATAATCTTTCAGCTACAGGTAATGCTGAATAAAGGGTTTTAGGCATCTAAGCAGCTTGATCATACTTGCATTTTTAAAAGATGATTCTGGTTGCAATAAGGAAGAAAGAATGAGCTAGAAAAGAGGGCTGCACAAAGCCAGTTAGCTGGTTACACAGTTTTCCAGGCAGGAAAGGATGTCAACTTGGATTAGGGCAGGGTTTGCACAGATGCAGAGTTGTGCATAAATCTGAGAGAGATTTATAAGGGATTGTTAATGTACTGGATACTATGGGGCGGGAGGCAAAGGGGATGTGAGTTTCTTTCTTTTTTTTTTTCTTTTTAAAGATGGGGTTTCACCATGATGGCCAGGCTGGTCTTGAACTCCTGACCTCAGGTGATTCACCCACCTCAGCCTCCCAAAGTACTAAGATTACAGGCATGCGCCACCACGCTCGACAGAGACGTGAGTTTCAAAACCAGTTGCTGGGTCTGTGGGTTATGCAAATAAATGGGTTACAGTGTCATTCACCAAGATATCAAACCTAGGTATGAAGGAGTGAAGATCCTGATTTCATTTGGAATGTGTTGAGTTAGAGGAGCCTTTGAGATTTCCTTATGGGGATGGAGAGAATGCAATCGGATAGACTGATCTGGAGCTCAAAGGAGAAATCTGGGAAGGAAATGTAAATTTGGGAGTTGTTGGCATAGAAGTGAATGAGATTACCTCAGTAAAGGTTAGAATATGAGAAAAAAGGGGGAGGCACAAACTTGAGCTTTGAGAAATTTTAATATGTAACAGCCACATGCAGGAATCTACAAAGGAGACCCTGGAGGTGAGGGAAAACTAGCCAAGTATGGAAGCAAGAGAATAAAGTGTTTCAAGAAGGGACACGTTGGATAGAATGAGGGCTATGGAGCATTTGAGCTGTTCTGGTAGAAAGATTAGAAGGGAGTGGATGGAGAGGAAAAAGAGTGAATATAGCAAGCTCTTGGAAACACAGATGTGAAAAGAAAGAAGGCAGTTACTAGAGTGGGAAGTAGAGTCAAGGAAAGGTGTTATAGTTGTTAAAATGTGAGAGAGACTGTTTAAATGTCAATGGTTAGGTGAGTAAATGAACACCCTGGAATTTCATTACATCACTCTCTTTAAAACCCCAGGACTTTAAAGTTTAAGCATCTAATAATATTGAAATATTAATTTTTTACTGAGATTATAGCAAAAAGTTATGACACTATAAACTCCTTAGACAGTGCTCTCCCTCACATTCCCAGTGCCGAGCGTTGAGCCCAATATGCAGCACTTTTAAAATAGGAAATACAGGCTGAACATATTAGAACAGATTTTCATAGCCATTTATTTATGAATAACTTATAGTTCCATTTGTATAAAAACACAGCTCATTTGTTCTCTCTTTTAAGAGCTTCTTAAATTTTTATGAAATATTTATAGTTTCTCAAAGGAACCAATGGGCCAAAGGTAACATTCCTACTATAGTCTTGTTCATTAACACTGGAGTTTCCCTGATGACTAATAGAACGTAGAATTGCATGTTTAAGTTAAAAAAATATCCTTTTCTTTTTTTTTTTTTTTTTTTTTTGTTTTTTTTTGAGACAGAGTCTTGCTCTGTCGACAGGCTGGAGCACAGGGGCGACGTCTTGGCTCACTGCAACCTCCGCCTCCTGGGATCAAGCGATTCTTCTGCCTCAGCCTCCCGAGTAGCTGGGACTACAGGCATGTGCCAAACGCCCGGCTAATTTTTGTATTGTTAGTAGAGACGGGGTTTCACCATGTTTGCCAGGATAGTCTTGATCTTTGGTCCTCGTGATCTACCTGCCTCGGCCTCCCAAAGTGCTGGGATTACAGGCATGAGACACTGCACCCGGCCCCTTTGTTTCTTTTTTTAAGAGAAAGGGTCACACTCTGTCACCTAGGCTGGACTGCAGTGATACAGTCATAGCTTGCTGAAGCCTCCACCTCCTAGGCTCAAGTGATCCTTCTACCCTAGCCTCCTGAGTACCTAGGACTATAGGCACACCATGGCTGGCTCTTTTTTTTTTTTTTTTTCATTTTTTGTAGAACCACATCTCACTATGTTGCCCAGGCTTGTCTCAAACTCCTGGCCTCAAAGTTATCCTCCTGCCTGAGCCTCCCAAACTCCTGAGATGTCAGGCATGAGCCACCATGCCTGGCCAGTTTCTTAATTTTAAGTTTCTTTTTTAAAGAGCAGAAGGTACTATTGATAAGGTTGATTATGATATTTCCTTCAAAATGTATCAACACAGCACTAATTATTTGGTTGATAGGTTCAATCAAGAGAGAGAGAAAAAAAAGCATAATATTTCACATTCTCGAATCATTAGTTTCTAGGCCAAATTATCCCATTTGGCCTCTTCATTAAGTAGAGCATTTGTAAAAGTAGTAGTTGGGACAAAAGGGTGTGGTAGCAAGCAAAAAGGTGCTTCTGCACTGAGAGGCATCTGAAGGAAGCTCTTTGTGGGCATTTCTCAGTGGGATTTGAGAGGTAAGTAGAGTACTCAGCACAGGACCACACACATAAAAGAAATCCAACAAATACATGTTGATTGAATTAAAAGTTGGAAGTATAATATAAATGCAAACAGGCTAAATGTGGGAAAAGGAAAATAAATAAAGAAGGTGGGGAGGAATTTTTAAACCATCTATTGGACTATATTACCTTTTCAAACACTTCTTGTCTCTATTAAGGTTAAAAAAAAAAACGGAGCTGATACAGCTCCTTAGCTATATCATGAACAGGGACATAAAATTTAATCTTCTGTTTCTTCCCCCTGGCCTAAGTGAATAGGAAAATTATTATTTATAGAGTGCTTCTTCAGTGATCATGAGGATTTCAAAAATATGGGAAAGGTTGCTCATATGATTAATAGAGCAGGCTGGGCAGCTTTCTGCTCATAGCAATCACTGCTTTTTATTTTTTTGTGGCAGCAGACAGATTTCAGTTTGAAGGTG